GTGAAGGGGGTGGTGGAGGAGACCGGGGTGGTGGTAGAGGAGACCAGGTATGGAGGGGGAGGGAATCAGTGGGGATGGAGGGGGAGGGAATCAGTGGGGATGGAGGGGGAGGGAATCAGTGGGGATGGAGGGGGAAGCTTACCTGCTGCTGCTGCTGCTTCCTCCTCCTCCTGCTCTGCGTGGAGCTCTCCCCCCCCCGTGAGTATCGTGGGTCCCCTTTCTTGCAAATCATAATATACAATAACAGAAAATAATATATATAGTGAATGTAGACGGTGGTCTCCGGAATTGTGTGCTGTTTCGACAATGATCTTCTTCTGAACAAGGGTGTGTACAAAAACTGTCTTTCAACAATTCATTTCTTGGGAACGTATTGGAAATATACTGTTGATTCATTTTATCATGAGGCTATGCTTACAGCTATGCTCTTCAATGGGCTATAATTGCTTATTTTGTTATTGTATATTATGATTTATGAATATATTACCAAGCGCTAAATTGTCACAGTTCTTTTTCCATTGGTCTTATTACTGTGCCCATTCTTGTAACTATCTTCTAAACATGCCGTTTTTTCAGCTTCTTCATAGGAACTAACAAAATTGATTCCTGCATACACTTTCATGCATCAGACCTAACTTTTAGTGTTCAAGTTGCCACTGGACCCCCGTTTTATTTTGCTTACAGACTTAACATGGCTACCCATCTGGACTGAATATCTTTGTTGCCCTCCTCTGAACCCATTCCAGTCTGTGTACATCCCTCTCAATCTGTAGTTTGCAAGTGCTCCAGATGAGGACTAACATGGAGAAGAGTGGGAGTGTTAACTCATATAGTATACTTCAATTAATGCACCTTAAAATCACATTTGCCTTTCTTTGGAACTGTATCATGCTGCTGGACTCATCTTCAGCTTGTGTTTGCACTCCTGAGATTCTTGTTACATGTACTATATTGCCAACTCAGTTTATCCCCCATTTTATGCTTGTGCTTATGGTTCTTTTTTGCCTAAATGCAGAACTTTTGTGTTTCTGCGGAATTTTGTTTGGCTGGAAAGCTGGGTTATCAATACAATTTTGAATTTACCAACTTTCAATGTCTTTCTGCTTTCTTCTTCACACCTTTGCTCCTCAGATCCCTTTTCTGCTTCTTCAACTCCAACTGATTTCTTCACCTTTGCTTTCCCACATCATGTGTCCCTCCCTTCATGTTCTCTTCATTCTAAAAGGCATCACCAATGCTGACAGTTACAAAGTCAGACTGGCCAGTATATAGTTTCCCTGAGCCCTTTTGAAGAACTGGACAGCCACCCTTCAGGATTTCTCAGAGATGCTAGACCAAGGGCCTGGCCACACAACTGCTGGCGCCTTTAGGACACAATTCGTGACTTGAATTCATTTAGGGTAGCTAGGCATTTCCTTTGTCTATTTTGAGCTGCAATCCTGTTCCCTTATCATTCATGCACGTTTTGCTAGGCTCTACAGTTTATTTGGGAGGTGGAGCATTCATGCACGTTTTGCTAGGCTCTACACAGTTTATTTGGGAGGTGGAGACAAAGTAGAAGTTGAAAATTTACTTATCCTCACGTTCCTTCCTCTTCCTTTGAATGTACCTGCAAAAACGTCATTCCTTGCCAGCCTCAACTCACTTTTAGCTGTAGCCCTCCCAGTCCCTGAAAGTCCAGGCTACTCACCTGTAGACATCTCTAGTGACCTGTTCTTCCTCCCATTCCTTATGTCATTTTTTTTTTAATTTTCAGTTTGTCACTTAGCTTTTTATACAGCCACACAGGCTTCTTTTGCTGCCTCCCATTATTCTCACCGGCATTGTTTGCAATTATGTTCACTGACTTCTTTTCCAGGAAGTTCCACCCATCTTGGACTTTTCTCTGATCTAGTCATGGACTCCTTTCTAACATTTCTCTAACTTTATTCAGATCCCCACCAAATTAGGAAGTGTGGCTATTACGCAAAGCAAAACTATTGTCCCTGAATGGCTTGAGTTTACTAGCTATCTTACTCTTTTTCAAGAGTGCTTTCAGAGACAATGAGAGCTCAGGTGGCTTCTTTCTATTCTATATTATTTGTTGTTGTTTTCCAAACAAAAATGGTCTTTTTTATAAACCCTCCTATTCCTACAGGATCCTCAAAAAGATACCATAATTATTGGGACCTGTACGAACTAATCTATTAACCAGGTAAAAGATGACCCGCTGAGCAACTAAAAATCTTTTATCAGTTGATATGCATCAGTCCATTGATATCTTATAACTGCACCAGCAAAATTTTCTTTCACTTACTATTTAACCAGTCTTTCCCCAGGACTATATTACAGACATTAATAATTCCAAACAGTCAAGATCTTTTTCAATTTGGGGAAAAAATTTAATGCTGACAATTACTTTTAGATTAGAAGCAATGATACATGGAAGACTCATTAATTCTAATACAATTTACACCTGTGGTGTACTTGACAATTCACGCTATCATTGTGCAGACAAAATATTAGAACTGAGCTATGGCTAAACCCAGGCACAACGGAAGTTTTAATGTCCCTCTTAATACATGGTTCTTGAAGTGATTGAGCAGAAATGCATTTGACAAGTTACATATGCACTTCCTAAGCTACTCAATTAAATGACTGGCTTCAGTTAAACCCATTATTTTATGCAATGGGTTTTGTTTGCCCTTGTTCCATGTTTTTTTAAATATATTCTCCTCCTCCCACTCCAATCTAATAGTTACTACCTCTTAATACCTAAATTATATGTGTAACACTTCAACTAATTTGTAACCCTAATAAGCCATGTAAAAGTTCAAGAACTACTTAAAACTTTTAAATCACAGGATACTCAGTGATGGCGTATTTGGTCTGGTAGATATCTGTTCATTATACTGCTACAGATATCCTCTTGAATACAGAACATTTCATGACAGTTTTGAGCCACTTGTGTGTGTGTGTACTTTCAACTTCAATGAAATCTAACAAGCTCACTTTAAGCCATGACATGTAAGTAATGTGGCTTGTCATGTGCAACTACTAAATAGTTCAAATCAGGCATACAAAACCAGGCAAATCAGATCTTCCTGAAGTAGAGGGATTTTATAAAGCAACATGCTTTTGCTTCTGATGCACCTGAATTCATTGATAAAGAAAAACCAGAAAAGAATATTGAGGATTTCTTTTTAATTACATGATACATTTCAGACAGCCATCCTGACTGTACTCACTCAAGCCCAATTACACATTTCTATAAATTATGACACAAGTACGTATGTTTGAACAATCCTCCATGATCAAAGTTCTCTCTCTGGCTGATGAGAAAGATTTAGTAGATACCATGTATGTAAAAATAGAAAGTTTAAAAACCAATCTCATCACAGAGAGTCATTTCCATTTGTTTGGTGAAATAAATAAGGCAGCAGGTAACCATTAATTAGCAGTGGCTTCCTTAAGGTATGCTATTAGATCTGCCCTTTCCCCCTTCTTCTTAATGCCAGCAAAGATCATCTTCGTTCCTGGAATATACTTCTTAGGGTTTTCCAAGTACTCCATCAGTGTATCTTCCCCCCAGATTATTCCTGGAAAACAATGATAATAATGATATCATAAAAATGAACAAAGTAAAATAGCAGATTTGGACAAATCAAGCAAAGAATGCCATCTCTAGAAAATGGTTAAACAGTGGCTTATTAAACCAATCAACGTGGAGTAACTTTTACAGTTCAGGGACTGGGTTTACAGTTACTGGAGCCTATCAAGGGCATATGAGTTTTTAAAATGTCTTACTCAACCCTAGTATCTTTGTTCTGAGCTGCTGCAGTTACACAGCAACTTCAGATAATTATAGCTGCACATTTAAGTTTAATAAATGCTACAAGTATTAGCCATGGAACAAAACACATTTTATGGTGGTTTTTATGTATAACGTACTGTACCACATATTAAACCACAATCATAAATACCCATCAGCTTATTCCATACATTTCAAAAGAAATTAATTCTTCCTCTAATACAGCCAATTCTCATTTTAAAAACTCTGAGCTGTCAAAGTAACAGCAAAAGTCTTGACTTTTGCCAAGTGTGTGCAACCACCATGTCAGCAGCACCTTATTCAGCAAGATCTTTCACTAGCTAGCATGGAAGGGCAAGGAATTCTTGGGTTGTACCAAGACAAAATGGCAGTTGTGAAGTACCACACATGTAAGGAATGACCCCTCTAAACTGTGGAGTCTTGTGAGCAAAAATTCTACCTTGTGAACTACTGGCATTAAAGTTGTGAGCAAGCGATTTGGCCACTGCATAAATTAGTGTGCTCTGGAGCCATTCTTCCTGAGCTTAGACAAAAATGTGTGAGCCAGAGGCTAAAAAACTCTGAGCTAGCTCACACTAACTTTGCTTAGAGGGAACACTGGTTAAGGAGACTTTCCCAGATAGGCTGAGAGTTAAATGGCAGTTAAATCTGGGAAGAACAGCAAAAGGATTAGAACTGTGGCTGATCACATTTTGTTGAATGTGGAAGACCTAGGGTGCTGCAGGAACAGTGTTGTGTAATGGTGAGGGGGTCCGGGAAATCAAACACGCTTTTCCATGAAGCTTGCTGCGTGACCTTGGACCAGCCACTTCCCTTTTCAGTATAACCTAACTCACAAGATTACTGTGCAACATTCTTCCCTCCATTTTATCCTTCTGCTGCTCTGAACACCTTCAAGGACACGTGTCATAAAAGCGTAGTAAACAAAAATATAAACACACACATGCATGCCCTAGGCACTAGAAAGGGGATTCTATTCTGTCAGGGTTATTCCACTGCATATGAGAAGCATCTGCTACCATGTCCCCCCCCCCCCAATAAGTTCTTAGCTGCTTAATAATGTATGTGTGCCTGAATCTCGAAGGATGATGCAACAGTTCTATTTTACCTTTGCTTTTGTTGGCTTCTGTGTAGGAAAAGCCTGCAGCTTGACCAGTCTTTCGGCCTAGTAACCCATGCAGATTCGGGCCAGTCTTATGCTTGCCTCCTTTTTCAACTGTATGGCACTGCGCACACTTCTGAACAAAGACCTTCTTGCCCTTTTCAACGTCTCCCATTGTCAGTACTGACGGGGAAAAGATATCAGAGACATATAAGGTTTCCAAGGACAGTGGAATTCTTCTGAGGCATACAGGGGCAGGAAAGCAAAACTGTGTACACTCATTTGAAAACATCTATGACACATACAGAAACATACTATAACAAGTTTAATATGAAGCCCCTGATATCAAGCATGTTTGTTTTTCAATTTTATATGGGCAAAGTACACTACAGAATAAAATGTACAAACATCTTCTTTGAACAGAGAAGGTTTTGTGCTGGAGACCCAATAACCTTAAATGCACCTGTCCCCACAGGGCAAGATATTGAAGGTATTCATTCATTCATTCAGGTCAGAACACATACCATAATTGTCTCCATACTCAAAGAGAGTACAATTGAGTGCAGATTAAGAGGTGAATTACTTCCTGCTACAGCAGTAATTGTGGATTTTCCATCCATCCAGCAAAACAGCTAACGGGACTCTTAAAAAGCCCTGTAAGCCAATCCTTTGCATACTTATTTGAAAGGAAGTTCCAATGATCTCAGTAGGACTTGCATTGGGGAAAAATATATATATAAGATTGGGCTTTGATTGAGGCAAGAGTCCCACCATCAGAGTTCAGACACACGAGTCCCTTTGCCACCCCCTTAAGGTGAATACAATACACACATGGTTGAGCACTGCAAAACACTCCGTCGCTCCCCGTTAAGAAGAATATCACGGAGAAACCGACGAATGGCACACAGGTGCTGTAGTGTGCGGCCTTGATCCCCATTTTTAAACAACCCCCGGATTAACGGTAACATAGCCCGATAACCTAGAAACCGAACTCCTGACATGGCCGTATTTAAAATTAAAAAGGAGACAGTTCAAGATGACTCAACAAGGTCGAACCACCCATCTTTCTTCCGGCCGGCCTCATTCACAAGACACGTGGGCGGTCGGCCACCAGCCCCACAGCGGCCCTCCACTCTCCCCATCCTTTCCTCCTCCTTCAAGGCGGGACCCAGAGCGGAGCGGAGCAAGGGGGCGCCCGCTTCCCGTGGGGGGGGGGGCACACCAAAAAACGCTGGGTGGGAGTGGCGACGGATTTCCCACCACCACCATCCCGAGAACTGGAACGTGGAGGGAAAGGGGCAGGCTGAGGCTGGAGGCCGACGACGGCGCTCTCTGGCCGAGACCACGCGGGAGCCGCCAGGCCATTCCTCTGTGGCCCCTCCGCGGGGTCACCTGCCTGACCTTGGCCCCGCGCTCTCCTGGCCTGCCCACCAGCCCGCCCCACCCACCACAGACAGCTGCCACCCCCCCAGCCCGGCAAGGGGAAGCGCCGCCGCGCCCAGTCCGGTGCTGGCCTTCCGCCCCATCCCACCCGCGGCGACCGAAGGATCTCTCGGTATTCCGCCGTTATTGCCGCGCTAATTAGGGAAGGGAAGAGCGCTCACTCTAGCCGGTCGCTGCCCTCTGCTTGCGCTTCTGCTAATCTCCTCGATTGACTGAAGCCCTCAAGGACACCCCGTACGCCGGGATAAGTAGCCGGTGTCTCTACAACCAAACTCCTCCTCCCGCAGTTAACAGCCTCTCTCTCGCCGTTAGCCAATCAGATACCAATACGGTACGTTCCTATTGGTCAAGCCACATGCCTGTCATATACGTACCGCAGCGATGGTAGGTTGAGACTCTGGGGGAACTCAGGTCGCCGGCTTCGGCGTGGCGGAAGGACGCAGAAAGAGGGAGGAGACGGCGCTCACGTGAGCAGCAAGGTCAAGAGCGCGCGAGGAAGTGGGTGGGCTTTTCCCCCGGGCGCATGATTGTACGTCTTTTCCGGCAGAAAGTGACGCAAGTGGGGATTCCGCCTGGTGTATATTGAGGGTGCTGGAGTTCAAGTTCCAGCAAAATCTATATTTCAGTCGTGAATAGATAGTAGTAAGACCTTTTGTAGCCAAGTAAGAGTGTTGCAAGTGCCGAGTAATAGGAAAGGCAGCGTCTCTGTTAGCTTTTTTAAAAACGACAAAATTATTCTATTATAGTATGCAGTGGATCCTCACTAGACAACCTAGGCTTGCGAGCTCTGGATTGGGAAATACCTTGGGGGGAAGGGAAGGGACAGCGGGACAAATCTCTGTGTTGTGGAGACAAGTTGTAATTCCAGGAGATTTTCAGATGCCACCTGGAGGCTGGAAAATTTAAATGCATATGAGGCTGTAAAGATTATGTACAACAGAGTCAAAGGGCTGTGAAATATGGGAAGTACAACGTGATATCCTTATGTAAATTTAAACTATTCAGACTAAATTATTTTGGAATTATTATGTGAAAGATTGGGACAGAATTCTGCAGGCCAGGGCTGATGTCAGCATACCCTGAAGTGGTGCTGCTGTCAGGGCCCACTGCTGCCAGCACCCCCTCCCCACTCACTTGCTAGCGCTCCACCACCCATGCTCCCTGCTGCACATGATGCCTAGTGCCACTGGGGAAAGGTCTGCAGGCACCTGTGAGCATGAGCACTGGGAGTGGCTTGTGAGCAAATGGGAAAGATGCATGCAGGTGGGAGGAAAGGCATGAGTGCCTGGTGGTGGGCAGATGAGGGGGGAATGGGAACTCTCTGCCTGGGGCCCCTAAAAACCATCCCTGACTGAGTGTTGTGCATGGCTAGGAGCTCAGCAGCCTTTTTCAAAACAGTACCACAATCCCAGGTGGCAATTCTTAAATTCTCCATCACCTGTTACTTTATAGGATTAGATGTTTTACTTATTTTATATTTTTATATTATTTATAGTCCACTTTACAGGGACGCAAGGCAGATTATGCATAGTGAGTCAGTGCAGTCAACAAAATGGGACATTCAGTAACCCCAATGCATTTGGATTTTTGAAGTTTGGAACCACCAGAAAGATACGAAGCATAGTATAAGTATCAACATGACACAATGAGCAGTGCAAAAATTACATAATAGGATCCCATTTATAGTAAGCAATATATAGTATAGATCACAATCTGTAATTATTTTTCCAAGCAGGTTTGTGAACCATTTTGTACCATGCAACCCTATTACCTGTGTAGAAAATTCCTCTTGAAACTGCCAGGGGAGTGGGAATTTTCCTGACTTCCTCAGGTAGGCCATTCAGCAAGACAGGAGCCTTGTTTATACCCTCCCTCTCTTTCCAACAGGGACCCTGTATAGATTCTGCCCCCCCCAGGCCAGTCCAGGGATGGGGGAAAGAATTCTACACTGGCACAATACATTACACAATAACCCAGAAAGGTAGGCTCTTTGGATTTCAGAACACAATAGCCACCAGGGATCTCTAAACTTAAATCCCTCACCAACCTGAGATTAGAGATACCCAGAATCTCAGTTGGCATGTGGGTTTTACACATTAGCCACTCAATCCAGAGTGTGCAGTTACTCTTACACAGGTAGCACAATTGGTCAGTGGTTCAGACTACAGGATTTAGCTTGAAGTCCAATTACCACAATCCAGACACTATTTATAAACAAGAATAAAGTTTATTCAGTAGAGAACTTTAGCACAGACTAGAAGGATTCAAAATAACAGCCTAGGCAAGTCTTGCCTTAACTAAACAGTAAGAAACATATTTACCAACATCAAGGTAGCGTCCACGAGTTCAATATAGTCTATTGGAAAAGTCCAGGTATCTTGAGAAACAATAGTTCAATCATTGCAAGCATATGGTCAGCTCACAAAGGAGTCCTTTGTTCTCCCTGGGACAGCATTTCCCAGGTGCAGTTCAACAGTAGAGAGAGAGCAAGAGAAAATCTGACTCTCCTCCAAGGGTCAGACAATTAAGAACCCCAATCTAATCATGACTGGCCGTGGCCATCAGCCAATCACAGGTAGGAAGGGGGTGTCCCAACTTTTGGGTTGTCATGGGAACAACATCTGAATGGTCAGAGCTCTGAAGGACACACCCGGGCCATGTGCCCCTCCAAACTCTAACCCACCATGGCCTACATGACATGGGCCCTGTAGCCTGAAAGCAGGCGCCTTGAAGTCTAACTCTTCCACTTAGAGGTGTGAAGAATGTGTGGCTATATGGCATGGCAATTGACCAAATGGTCAGCCATCTGGCTGGCAACAGGAAACAAGGTATCAGAAGACATTCCAGGGGGGAGGCAGGGGTTTATAGGAATCACTATTTCTATACAGACCCAATGTGGCTTACATCGTTCTCCTTTTTATCCTCAACCGTTCAGTAAGGTAGATTAGGCTGACAGTATGTGACTGGCCCAAGATTACTGTGAGCTTCCATGGCAGACTGGGAATTCAAACCAGGGTCTCCAGGATCCTAGTCCAGCACTAACTACTACACCACACTGGCTCTTAGTCCTGGAGATTATAAATGGGACATCTTTATTTTGGGCATCTCAGTAATGTTTTAGGTAGAAATGGATGTTTCAGATACCAGAAAGCAGCAATCCACTTTAAAGTCATAAATCATAAGCTTTCTAGCATGAACTTTTGTAGACTAGACCCCACTTCATCAGATGAAGTGTTAATGCAACTTAATGTCACTTTAACTGTTAATGCAACTTAATGAGTTTAAGGTTTTTGTACATTCAAAAGTAACCTTTATGATAGTATGATTCTGTATAATGGCAGATGAAGCTAAGAAACAATGCAAAATATGATGACGATGATGCAGGATGAATAGTATAAGGGTACAGAATCAATCTGCTGTCTTAGGGATCTTGCTTTTGGTATATTTTATGGCCACCGTAAATTGTTTCACATTGTGCAGCTTTTGGTTTGTTAAACAAAACAAAGAAACTGGAATGTTCCAACAAACGAGCAAGAAAAGCTGAGCCTGCTTGGCTGCTCCATTTTGTGGAGTTCTTAAATGTGCCAGATGTCCAGTATGCCTCACAGGCTGCATTCCCAGAAGCTGTCAAATTGATTTTTCCACCTGTTGCCACATCCACAGCATTCAAAAGTTTGCACTAATTTGATTAATATTTGTAATTATTGAGTAGCTCCATATTTTCTTTGACTAACTGTGATGCTGATTTGTAGTTGTTCCCCAGGGGGTAATAATCCAGGTTTAGATTATTTCTTAGTGTCTATCTGAATGACAGTTGAAGTGATAATATAGAATCATAGAGTTGGAAGGGACCTCCAGGATCATCTAGTCCAACCCCCTGCACAATGCAGGAAGTTCACAAGTACCACCCAGAGACCCCTGCTCCATGCCCAGAAAATAGCAAAAAAACCCTCCGAAAAGGCCTGGAGAAAATTGCTTCCAGACCCCAAAAGTGGCAATTGGCATTTCCCTGGGTGTGTAAGAAAGGGCCATGAGAACTAAGCACTGATGCAACCCTTCCTGCCCTCCCTTTCATGATCTGCGTAAATTCACAGAACCAGCATTGCTGCCAGATGGCCATCTAGCCTCTGTTTAAAAACCAAAGAAGGAGAGCCCACCACCTCCCGAGGTGTGCCATCATCACGGAGGCTGAAGTTGGTTCCCAGCTCCTTATCCTGGACTTATTCGTGAATCCACCCAAAGAGGCTGAAGTTGGTTCCCAGCTCCTTATTCTGGACTTATTCGTGAATCCACCCCAAAACATTCAGGATAGTTTAAAGGCTCTGAATCCCAAAATAAAGTTTGTACCACCATACATCCTACACCTCCACAATCGGGGCTCTGTTGTCTGAGAGGACAGATGCAGTTTCCTGGTCCAAAGCCCAGTTCTTATGCCAGCTGCTCCAAAGTGGGTGCCCCCAGGACAATGGCACAGGCAGACACTGGGGCTAAGCTGCACCTCAAAGCAATCTTTGGACTACCCCAAATGACACATCCCCACACTCCGGATACTGTCTCATGCAAGAAGACATATGGTGCCTCTTTTAAACACTGGTTCTGGTATTTTGAGTACCACCAAGAAGCCTGTATTGCAAGGATTTGAATACGGAATAGGAACGACTGCATGCCCTCTGCACCTCAAAATGAGGTTTGAACCACCACAAATCATAGACACCCATGTTCAGGGATCTTGCCCCCCAAGACAGCATATGCTGTTTCCTGGTCCAATGCCCAGGTCTTGTGCCAGCTGCTCCAAAGTGGGGTGCCCCCAGGACAATGACACGGGCAGACACTGGGACCAGGCTGCACCCCAAAACAATCTTTGGACCATCCCAAATGACACATCCCCGCACTGTGGAGACTCTCCCCTTCAAGAAGTCATACAGTGGTGCCCAGTCAAAACCCTGGTTCTGGCACCATAAGCTTTTATTTGGGTTGCCACCCAGAAGCCTGTATTACAAGGATGCACTTATGATTTTGTGTGATTTAGGATGGTACGAAAGATCGTTTTGGGGTGCAGTTTGGCCTCAGTGTTTGCCTGTGCTATTGTCTTGGGGGCACCCCACTTCGGAGCAGCTGGCACAAGAACCAGGAAACAGCATATGTAGTCTTGGAGGGCAGAGACCCCTGAATGTGATGGTGTATGGTTCATGGTGGTCCAAACCTTATTTTGGGATGCAGAGCTTTTAAACTATCCTCAATTTGTTTGGTTGGATTAATGTTTATTACATTGA